AAGGTTTCTAATTCTCAGAGTGAGAGCCCTGCCTTCTGCAGTCATCCCAGTGCCCAGATGCTGATTTAAGCAGGGTTAACAAAAAAGGGGGAAATCCCCAACCCACAGCTCCACATTCATTGCTTGGGTTTCACTCTTCTGATAGAGGTGACATGGATGGGCCTGGCAGCACCTTAGTCATCTGTGTGCTCCAGGAGCAGAGTGAGCAAGTCCTAAAGATCTAATGTTTGAACAAGTGTTTGCTTGTTTCTAGCCCAGTCTCTTGCCCATGAGAGGCTGCTGCCCATCTGCTTGCTTTTTCCTAGTTCTTACTTCAATGTCATTGTGCAAACCAGTCCAGAAGCACGCCCAGCCCCTGTCAGTGGGTGAGAGATGGGCTTGAAGGTCCCACCAAAGCAGTGTCTTGCATCAGGCTTGCTTGAGGAGCTGTGCACTTCAACCTGAGGCCTTGAGGATGTTGAAATCCCTCAGATGATTTTCTCATTTGAAAAACAAACTTGGAAAGCCTGAAGTTAAAGGTGAAGAGTTCAGCTCTTTTCCTCCATCACTGGCGTGTTCAGCTTCAGGCTCGGAGCTGTGGTGGAGGGAAATGCTCTTCAACAGCATCTGCATCCAAAAACCTCAAAAGAAGTCTTGAACTGCTGGTGTCCCTTCTTAATTCCCTTCAATGCTATCTGCAGATGCTGTGGCCTTTGAGCAGCGCTCTCCAGCTGGACTCACAGCCTGGAACCAGGGGAGTGATTACAGAGCCTGGAATTGCTTCCTTTGTGCTCCAGGGCCAGTTGTGAAGTCCTTGGGGCTGGCTCAGCAAAGCCCACGGGGCAGATTCCTGCTGGGTTGTGTGAGAAGGGGCTCCAGCTCCTTAACCTGCTGTAGGACCCTCTTTGCCCCTGGAGTGTCCCCCTCGGTGGGGAGCTCCTTTCTGTGCTGGTCAAGAGCTGAAGCAGAGAAAGGTTCTCATGGGGTTTCTTAGAGGGCTGTGCTTGGGAAGAGCAGGTACTTTCTGGGGCAGTTTGGGCCCTGGGTGTGTGTGGTTTGGGCAAGAGGCAGGAGGGGCAGACCCTGTGGTTCAACCACAGCTTCTGCCTCTCCACCGGAAGGTGCCGTGGATTTCAGCGTGCTGAGGGCTTTGTTTCTGTGGTACAGTTGACTCAAAGCAGCAAAGAGCTGTGAAATCCCATGGTGGCGTGGGTGGGAGTTTCCTTTCAGTTGTAAATGTGCTTTAAGAGCAGAGGGTTTGTGAGTTTAAAGTATGGAGAGGGAGCGAGGTGCTCAATGTGTCCCTTCAGAGAGCTGGAGCTTGGAGCAGCCTGGGCTGGTTGAGGTGGCCCTGCCTTGGGTGGGGGTTTTGTGCAGACCCCTCTGCTTGTGTGGACTTAGAGCCTTGTTTGTCCTTTGGTGCCTCGAGCAAGCACGTTCTGCAGGCTCCTGATCTCCACTGCTGGTTGAAGCTTGAGCTCTCCCCCTTGCCTCCCTCCTTACAAAGACCTGCCTGTAGCTGGCTCTGTGGAGAGCATCTTCTTTTCGTCTCCAGCTTCTGTGACTTCCCTTCCCAGCACCTTTCCAGCTCTTGATCTTGCCTTTGTTTCTCTCTTGGGAGTTAGCTCTGACCATGCCATGAATTCCTGTGAAATGCTTCTCTGTTTTCCAGCACATCTGCAGATTCCTGCAGTGTTCAAACCAGGATTTAAGATTTCATTAAGAACAAGGAAAGCAGCCCCTTCTCTTTCAGGGGCTTTCTGGGATTCCCAGAGGAAAAGCTTTTATTTCTTGCCTAATCCTGCCTTGCTTTCAGGTGATGTGATAGGTAAGGTCCTCTTGGGGGATGAAGCAGCAGCAATGCTTTGGTGTGCCACCAGGAAGTGCCTGGGCTGACTGCAGTGGATGGGTTCCCCCATCTTCACATTCCCTCTTAGTGTGGAGAGAGGCGCAGTGCTGGGAAAGGCAGTTCTTTCCCTGTGGAGACTGACAGTCTGCTCTGGTAGAGATTGGGACTGCTCAGCTGCAGGGAAACTGCGGCGAGATTTAAGTGAGTTCTAATGGTGAAGCTTCAGTTCTGGTCTTGGTTTCAGTCCCACCTCTGCTGCTTGGGAACGCCGGGGTGAAGTGGGTTTGGGCTCAGAAGAGAGGTTTGCTCATCAGGTACCCTTGTGCAGGGTGAGGTTCTTAACATCCTCTGCAAGTCCTGCCTGTGTCTGCTCCAGTTACATCTGAAGACGAGGAGAGGAGAAGGGAAGCTGCTGGATTTCTTGCTGTGGCTCAGCCTCACCTCCTGCTCTGCCTGCTCAGGTGCTGTGGCCAGGACCTGCTCTGCACCCGAGCTGGGGTTTGAGCCGTAAGTCGGGAAGCAGAGCAGTTCTGAAGATGTACATAGGGTGCTTTTAGTGCTCTGCCATGGTAGGGAAGCTCATTTCCTTTCCGCTGGTGGAGCTGCTGCCCTGGTGCCCACCACAGCAGTGCCAGTGTTTCTTGTGCCACCTGAACTGTGTCTGAGTGGCTGCTGTGCAGCAAGAAAGTGCTTTGTATAGAGATCTCCAGGCAGATAGTGTGGGAGGATGTGGCAGATGCAGGGAGCGGTGCTGGGGTGCAGTGGGGGACACTGACACCCACCCAGCTGCCTGCTTTGATGGGGATACTTTACCTAAAAGTGAAGTTCCTGGCACAAGGTCCTGCTGTGATTGTAAGAAATTAAACTTAGGCCTTTGTTACCTCACTGCACCCAAAACTGGGGGCTTTGTCTGAGTAAGATGTGTTAGAGCATGAGAAGAACAGGGTTTAGACTGGGGAAGCTGACACTGATGTGAAATACGCATGTAATAGTAATCTCTGTTCCACTGGGGTGGCAGATACTTGCACAGGTGAGTTACTGACAGAGCTGCTTTGCTTCCATCTTGGCATGGCTCCCCCTGCCACATCAAATAACCCAAACCCTACATACAAACCCATTTGGTACACCTGGATATTGCAGAATGCAGAAAAAGCTTCCCTCTGTGGGAAGCCTCTATCTGTTGCTCTGTGGTTAACTGGGAAGCTGCTGGTATTTAAACACAGACTGTTGTTTTTGTGCTTCTTCATTTGAAGATAGACCTTTGCAGGGGTGTACTCCAGAACTACCAGGCTTGGAACAGCGTGTCCCTCAGTTTCTGATACTGAAGGTTCTGTTTCCCCAGGGTGAAATCTGCAGAGGGAAGGAAGGAAGGAAGAACATTTTACAACTCCAAGTAGTAAGGGGAACTTTAGTTTTGCTTGCCATCATTGTCTGGTCCAGCTGTCAGCATTCCTTAGTGAAGTGACCCTAGGAGCTGCATTAAGTTTACTGCAGGCTCCTGTTTTCTCTTTCTAGATGCAGAGATTGGCTCTAGAGAGACTGAGGCATCTCGGAGCTCACTGCTGCTGTGGCTGGGACAGAGCAGGGACACTGCACATCTGAAGACTTCCTACTTTGCACCAGCCTAACTTGTGCTTGCACAAAAGCCCCTGCAGCGTTTGGAGGCAGCCAAATGGCTCCTGGAGATAGGGCTCTGTTATCTGCAGCAGCTTCACCATCACAGGGGAAGGAACAGCTCCACAACCTGACACTTCTCAGCTGTGGAGCTGGCCTGGACCAACTCCAGAGCCTGTGGCCAGGTGGCAGCTCTGCAGGCTCGGTGCACAGGGGTGATAATAGCACAGGGACTGTAAACAGGACACTCCACCCTGCCTCAGTGCCCCAAGTGCTGTGCAGGCAGCCTCTGCACCCAGCAGCACCCGGCCCTTCCCTGCGCTGTTCGGTGGCAGAGCTCTGTGGAAAGGAGCAGCAGTTGTTGCTGTTCATGCATCAGTAGCTTTAGATGGTGCTCAGCCATCACAGTGGTGTCACTGGAGGAGGCCAGGTCTCTGCACTCAGCCATAGAACCAACTATGCTGGAAAAGACCTTCAAGCCCACCACTAAATCGTATCAGTTGTGTCTGTTCTTGAGCCCTTTCAGGCTGTTTTTGCCCACATTGCCCATGTTGGAGGTTTGGAATACAAAGTGACCCCAGTCACTCAGGATGTTCTGGTTGGACCAGAGAGCTTCTGGGGGCCATGGACTGTCAGAGCAGTGTGGGATGGGGCTGCCCTGCTGCAGTAGGGTTCAGTTCCTCTGAGCAGCAGGAGAGGAAGGGACAGATGCAGTCACATGTAATGGAGGTACAAGTGACTTTGCCTGTGTGGGCAATGAGGCATTGAAGAGGAAGCCACAGGTACTCATGGGTTTCTAAACTGGAGCTCATGGCACTTGCTGTTAACTGTTGGGAGCAGGGAGTGTGCCTGGAACTGCACAGTGAGCCTTTAAGCCAGTGTGGCCCTTGCAAGGTGTGGCTGTGCAGGGCCTGATGCTTCTCTTGCCTTCTGCTTGGCTTTTTGTTCCTGCCCTTTTCTCACCTAGAGCTCCAATTCCACTGCTCAAAAATGTGATTTTAGCTGATGAGAAAGATACATTCACCAGACCATGTCCCTGGAACAGCCTCAGCTGGGGGCTGCACACCTTTGTATACAGAGGTATTCGGCAAACACAACAGAGTGTTTTAACAGTTTCAAGGCTGAGTTTAGTGTGGTTTAACTCCCTCCCTGCCTATTCTGCCTGTAGGGACAGGCCAAGGGGAATGGCTTGAACCTGCCCGAGGGGAGACTGAGCTGAGCTCTGAGGCAGAAGCTCTTCCCTGTGCGGGTGCTGAGGCGCTGGCACAGGGTGCCCAGAGAAGCTGTGGCTGCCCCATCCCTGGCAGTGCTCAAGGCCAGGTTGGACACAGGGGCTTGGAGCAAGCTGCTCCAGTGGAAGGGGTCCCTGCCCTGGCAGGGGTTGGAGCTGGAGGAGCTTTCAGGTCCCTGCTAACCCAAACCAGGCTGGGATTCTCCAGGCTGTATGGGCCAGTTCCCTTGTGATCATTGCAATGGATGTGGGCCTGTTAATTGTGACACTGCTGGTGCTGAGCCTTGGCTTTGGAAGTCTCATGTTCTCTCCTTTCCCCCCGTGCAGCCAGCGTTCCCTGTGCTGCTGCTGTGGAGAAGAGCTGCCGTCCCCAGCAGCCCCGTGTGCGGCGCACCTCCTCGCTGGACACCATCGTGGGCTCCTACCTGCTGGGACAGTGGCCTCGGGATGCTGAAGGAGCTTCCACCTCATGCAGGAATGACAAAGCTACCCAGGTAAAAACACCTGCAGACTGCCCTTGAGGCCTGTGGCCCAGGACGGGGTTGCAGGACTGCAGTGAGCTGTAAACAGGGGTGCATAGGGAAGACATTAACCTTCTACCCATCCAGCTGCAGCTTTCTAGGAAGGCTTTTCCCCCCCTTTTGCTTCCCAGCTTCACTTGATTCCACTTTGATGCAGAGTTAGAATGTCCTTGGCCTTGTTTGGAGGCAGATGGCCTCTGGCTCCCTTCTCCAGCACTGGCTCGATGCTGCGTTAGTGTTTCCTGGCTTGCCGTCATGGGCCAAGTCCTTATATAAAGCTCTTGGGCTGCGTGCCACACTCCGTGAGGAGTCAGGGGTGCTCCCACCACGGGCTCGCTGGCACGGGTAGCTCTGCTGGAGGATGGAAGAGCTCCAGTCCTCGAGGAACTCTTAGCAACCTGTAAATATTACTGTATGGCAGCAAATAGTGCCATAGCTGCAGAGGTGGAGGAACTCGGGAGGGTAAGGGCATCCGTCTGCTCAACGAGTGGTTTATTCAGCACATGGAGCCTCTGTGAGCTCCCTCCCTGTTTGAGCTTTGCTGTTCAACGGTTTATTGCTGGGCTGTTTGCAGGAAATTCCCCATTGGATTCCAGCTTCCATTGTCCCTTCCCAAAGTATTCTTGCCTGCTTTTGTTCCAGTTCTAGTGCCCAGGAGCTCTGCTGAGGGCAGAGGCCGTGCTGGAAAGGAAGGGAAAGAATTTGCCTAACTTGATTCCTAGGCAGGGAAGCACACTCTGCCTTTCTGGCCTTGTCACATGCTGGGAACACTTAACCCAGTGCTTTGGGGCTAATGAGTTTGTCTTGCACATAGCCATGGCTTGGGGAATAGGTTGGAGAAGAGGGACACCTTCTTTTTCCTGGAGTGGAATCTATTACTATGTTAATTCCTATGTGAGCATGGAGCTGAGCACTCCTGGCAGTGAATAGGTGCTGCAGCCTTTCAGCATTATCTGCAGGAGCCTTGCAAATGGCACTTTCACCTTGCACAATGCCTATGAAATGAGCACTGATCTCCAGTGCTTCACACACAAACCCCAGTGTGGGGCGAAGGACTTGGGCTGGTGATAGCTGGGGATGAAGTCCTTGGATGTGGATCAGCACCTCCTCCTCATAACCCGGGCACTTTGCTGCTCCTGCCCTGTTCTCAGGCTCGGGAGTTCCCAAAGCTGGGACTCTCTGTGTCATCAGCACGCGTTCATCCCCTTGCTGAGCTCTGGTTGCTGCCATGGGCTGGGTAAGTGAGAGGTGCAGGTCTGAGCATGGGGCTGAGGGTGCCAGCGCTGCACAGGGTCAGAGCTCGTGGCTGTCTCGTGCTGTGCAAAGCGCTCTGCTCTCTCCCGTCTCTGAGGAAGCGGTTTTGTCACAGTTGGTACAAAAGGTTCTGTAACTTCCTTCTGCCCTCACCGGGCCTGCAGGGGTGGGAGGTGTCTGCGCCCTCCGCTCTCAGGCCTTCCCATTGCAAGCAGCAGCTTCTCTTCCTTTTTAGGCCTGAGTTTTCTTGTGGGCCCCAGTGCTTGGGTGTCCCAGCCATAGGCTGCAGTGACTCTTCAAGCAGGGCTCAGGAGGCTGCTGTTGACTTGAGGGCAGTTTCTGTCCCGTCCTGCAAGGCAGGGCCGTGCCTGGCAGCTGGAGTTCAGCTTCCCACACACTTGCCTCTTGCAGTGACACGGGACAGGGCTGCGGTCTCGTCCCTTGGACCTGTGCCTCTCGTCCTTATGTGTGTGATCTCCTGGGATGCACAGTGACACAGTGCTTTGGGATAACAGCCAGATAATGGTGTTTGAGCTGTTTAGGGTGTTTGAGGTAGGAAATGAGCTCATGTGCCATGTGCAAGGCTGGTTCTTGCCATAGGATTTCCTATCGCGTTAGGCGGCTCCTTAGCTCAGCCTGATGCATGTCAGGGTGGCTGTGAGTGCTCAGAGCAGTGGTTCAGGCTCTTCTTTCTTCTCTCCAACCAAACTGGAGTTGAATTGTGCTGTGCTTTCTGCTGCTCACAGGCATTGCAAAATGGAGATGTAGGCAACAGGGAGCACAGTGCTGTTTACAGTGCTGCTGTGTAAGAAGGGGCTTCATTCAGAGCCTGTTTTTTCTGCCTAGAAATCACCTGTATCCCTCTCTGGAAGGGAAGGCTGGTGCCTCCCTGGGTAACTTGCCTTGTTCCTTTGGTTTAAACAGACTTTGAAGCCTGTTTTGAGAGCAGCAGCTTCTGTCATCCCCCGGATTCTAGAGGCTTGTTAAAGCAGCTGCTGTTCCTGCAGCAGCCTCTGGGGAGATCAGCTCAGCTGCTCCGAGAGGAGCTGTTCTCAGGCCCTTGCACCTCCTGAGCCTGGAGGAGGGAAATGTTATCCAAAGCCTCCCACAGACATGGCAGTGACACGGGGGGAGCATTCGGAGAGGCACTGGAATGGGATGTTGGGGAGGAACGAGTGACGGTTGGTCTCAAACGCTGTGCCTGTGGGGCTGCTGGACGGGGCTGAGTTCAGGGGGAGGAAGCTCACACCCTTTGCTGATCACATTAACAGTGCTTTCTGATTTCCACTGCTACTCAAACCGTGCCTGGTGCTTGGCCAGCAGCTTGGGAACGTGGTGCTGAGGCTGCTCTGCATGAGGAGGCACTTGGGACCCGCAGCCCTGCACATGGAGGCCCATGAGCTGCAGAGGCACCCAAGCTCCTCCAGCCCCTCTGGTTCTGGTTGCACCTTTAAACCCTGGGCTGGGAGGCTGAGGTCTCAGGAGCACTTTGTGTGCTCTCACCCTCGGGTGAGGCTTTTCCTCTTGGTGATGCTGCTTCATACAATGAGTGCCTCGAACACGAAACCCTGCAGCACAGCAGCACGGGGCTGCTGCAGTTCTTTCTCCAGGGTGATGCTCTTTATCTCATAGTCATAGTCAGGGTTGGAAAGGAGCTTAAGATCATCTAAGGCACTTGTGGCAGTTGTCCACCAGCAACAGGACAAGGGGTGGGGTGATGGGTTCAAACTGAAATGGGAGCCTGAGCTGAGCTCTTAGGCAGAAGCTCTTCCCTGTGAGGGTGCTGAGGCGCTGGCACAGGGTGCCCAGAGAAGCTGTGGCTGCCCCATCCCTGGCAGTGCTCAAGGCCAGGTTGGACACAGGGGCTTGGAGCAAGCTGCTCCAGTGGAAGGGGCCCGTGCCTGTGGTAGGGGTTGGCAACTGGAGGAGCTTTAAGGTCCCTTCAACCCAAACCAGGCTGGGACTGATTCTGTGATCACTGCATTAATGGGGGAGGTGAGAGCAGGCCAGTGAATGGGCAGAAGTGGTCACTTATTCTTAGGACTCCAGCACAGTCTCTAAAGCAGTAAATGTGATTATTCTCAGCCATGTTTCTCATCACTCCAGACTCCAGTGTCCTGGCATGATGTGGAAGTGGGGAAAGCCAACTCCAGTGCTCACAAGCGTTCTGCTTCTTGGGGTAGCACAGACCACCGCAGAGAGGTAAACTACACCACTCCCAACGCTTGAGCAAGGTCTGTGCTAGTTCCTAATGTACAGGAGGCTGCTGCTGGCATGGGAGGGGAGTGGGAGGCCAGGAGACTACTGAAGATGAGACCTTAGCCCTTATTCTCATCCCTGACACTCTGTGATCCAGCTAAAGACTGATCTTGGTGGCTTCTTCTAGCAGGCACCTATTGTAAAGCAGCTCCACTGCAGCGCGGTGCATTGCTGGTCAGTGTCGTGGTGTCTGTGGGTTCCAGGTGGTTCCCAGCTTGCTGCAGGTGGAGGCAAACCCAGATCCTTTGGAGGAGTGGTGCTGGGTGCACTGCAGCAGGGCAGGCTGTGAGGAGGCCTTTAGAGGGGCTCTGCTCCATCCTTGAGGAGGCCAAAGCTGCTCCTTGTGACTGAAGCCATCTGAATCCTTGTGGGTTGGAGGAGAGGGGCCGGGCCCGATCCTGCTGGGGGGGGCTGTTGGCTTGCCTGGGTCTAGCTCAAGCTCTGTTTGCCAGATTGCCAAACTGAAGCAGCAGCTCCAGAGAACAAAGCTCCACGGCAGAAGTGGCAGAGAAAAGGAGAAGAGCTCCCCAGTGCAGGGGGACCACGCTGTCCTCCCATCCCTGCGGGTACGTTCCTGCCTCCCCCTGCTCTGCCATCACCACTGTCCCAGGGCAGGTGTCCAAGGTGTTCTGTGCCTCAGGGACCCTGTTCTTTGCTTCTCTCTCCCACCTCACCATGTGCCTGTGCTTTGATCTGCAGTTACTGACGTGTCTTGACTCTGCCATCAGGCTTCTGTCAGCCTGAGCCTTGGGAACTGCTGTGGATGAGTTGTGCAGATACAGCTGTGAACTCCCCTGTCTCTGGGCTGTGTTACAGGACCCTTCTTCAGGCTTCCCTTCTCTATCTCTCATTTGGAAGCTCAGCCCCTGCTTGCACAGGAGCCTGGAAGGCCTAAATCAGGAACTGGAGGAGGCGTTTGTGAAGGAGCAGGGAGAGGAGGAGCTGCTGCGGGTAAGTGAAGCTCCCGGGGCTGCCCTGGACGCTCTGGGTGCTCTTGGCAATCCCTTCCTCTAAAGACACCTCTTGTACCTGCTGCTTGGCCACGGGGACAGTCTCTGTGCCTGGTTTCAGTCTGTCCTATGCATGTAATGGTCTAAACTGGGTCAAGTGGCTGCTGCTTCCCTCCTTAGACCTCGCTGGTGCTGTGAGATATCAGCCAGTAGCAATCTCAGGGTGGCTGACTCCTCACTGACACCTTTAAGACACTCAGACTCTGGCCACTGGGCAGATGTGGGAGAAGTGACTCCAGATGGCTTGGAACTGAAGCGTGTTACAGGATCCAGAAGGACCCATGTCCTTGGAGCAGAGGCTCTGCCTGTAGTGGATCCAGCACCCCAAGCAGCTGCTCTCTGCAGCTAAAGCTGCTCTTAAACCCCTTCCCTGGTGCCAAGGGGCTTTCTTCCTCCTCTAAGACTTGGCTTCCTCTGTAGATCCTGGATGTCCCAGATGGGCACAGGGCACCGGCGCCTGCCCAGAGAGGCTCTGGAGCTGCATCCCTGGTGCTGGAGCCCGGCAGTGGCAGCTGGAGCAGCCTCTCTCCTTCCCCTTCGGTGCCTCTGCCCCTCTCCCCACACCCCCCGGGGAGGCTGACAATGGAAGAACCCTCCTGTGCAGTGGATGAGGTGCAGCCAGAGCCCAAAGAGAAAGGTAAGAACCCGGAGCAGAGGGGTTGGGAGCTCAGGGGACAGTGGCTCATCCCTGTCTGCCTGCTGGGTTGGAGGCTGCAGCAGGGATGGCAGAGAGGGTCTTGGTCATGGCTAAGTTGTGGTGGTGGCTTCCAGCAGTAGATGGAGGATGTGACCTGGGAATGACACAGGAAAGGTTGGGGCTTGAAGCACTGCAGCCTCCAGCCCCTGGGTCGGAAGGAACGCAGTGAGGTTGGAGCACTGTTGGTTTCTTTTAAACATTGTTCCCAATGTGCCTTTTCTTCCCCATCAGAGGGGGGCAGCCCCTCCCCAGTACTGGCCTTCGCATCCTCCCCTCGCCCCAACCACAGCTACATGTTCAAACGGGAGCCTCCGGAGGGATGCGAGAGGATCCGGGCCTTTGAAGAAGCTTCGTAAGTACCAGGAGTTGGTGTTGGCAGCGCTTGCTTGAGGGCGGTCCTGCAAGAGGCTGCTGGGCTGGGGGAGCTGAGGGTCTGCTGCTACAATCACCCCCCTCAAAGGAGGGAGCAGCCATGGGGAAGCATTCCTGAGCAAACTGGGGCTGCTCCGGGCCTGGTGTGGAGCAGGAAGCTGGAATGCTGACCCTCGGAAGGGTCTGGTGCTGCCATCCCCTCCCAGGCAGTGGGTGTTGGTCAGCAGAGCCCTTGAGGAGCAGCAGCAGTTGGAGAAGTCAGCTCTCAACAGACCAGGCTCCTCATGCTGCTCTGTACCTGAGGGGGCTCAGCTCCCACTCAGGCCCTCTGAAGGGTGCTGCAGCTCCAGGTGTTCTCCCTGTGGCTGCTCCATGCTCCTGGGAGCATCCGTCCCCAGTGCCATCCCCTCCATCTCTCTCCAGCTCCCCCAGCCCTGAGCAGCCGTTCCAGCCTTCCTGCCCAGACAAGAACAAGGTGCATTTCAACCCCACCGGCTCTGCCTTCTGCCCCGTCAGCCTGGTGAAGCCGCTCTTCCCAAACGTGGGCTTCCTCTTCAGGAGCTTCCCAGCTTCCTCCAGCCCCGTCCCGGGCACGCTGACCTCCTGCCAGCCCCCGGCCCCGTTCCTCGGGGTGCAGAAGGACGCTGCGGGCGGCAGCTTCAGCAACGCCCCCACGGCTCCTGCCCTAAGCTGTGAACCCTGGAAGCGCGGTCAGGCCGAGGAGAGCGTCGTCTTCCACAGCTCCCTGGTTGTGTGAATCCGCTGGAGCCTCTGGTGATCGGTGCCTTGAGCGTGGGATGGGACAGCCAAGAGGAGGCCCTGGAACTGCACCCCACAGCGGGGTGATGGAACTGTGAAGCACGGAGTGCTGTGGGATTCCTGGCTGCTGGAGAGGCTCCTTTCCCCGAGCCTCTCCCCTCTTCCAAGCACTTCCCTGTTCTCAATTGTTCTTGTTCTGCGTGATTGTTGTCCTGGTGCAGAGGAGCAGAGGCAAAGTTGGGCTCTGGGAGGATTCGGGTGGGGATTGCTGAGCCCTGGGGAGCAGGAAGGGGGAAGAAGGGGCCTGTGGGCCCCCTGCCCTCGGCTGTATCAGCACAGCTCATCTCCCCCAGCACAGGTGGGGCTGGGGAGCAGCGGCTCCCTGCACACCTTGGACCCCCCCCCCCCCGGACAAGCCTGAAGCTTCGGGAATGTTGCGTCTGTGCTCCGGGAGCTGGTGTGAGCCAGCGGGAGGGAGCCAGCTGGGGCTGGTGGGTTTCCCTGCGCCTGAGCAGAGGTTTTCCAGGTGCCTTGGAGGTGGGAGAGGTCCCTGCTCCAGGGGGTGCTGCTGCTGGGGGGTGGCCCATGGCAGCAGGGATGCTCAAACCCTTTGGCCCACACGTGCGTGCTGGGGATGAGCGGGGCCGCCTCTGCCTGTATTTGATGTTAAACGTTTCCAAAGACACTATTTTTGCAGTTCCTTAAATTCTCTATTTTGGGTTTGTATTTGCAGAGCTTAACGGAGGGAGTTCCTTGCCCTCGCGAGAGAACGAAATAAACCCTTCAGGCATTAAAACCATTTCTGTGCCGTTTCGCTCTGTTACAATCAATGGATTGAGCGTAACCTGGGGGGCCGGGGCAGGGCGGGCGCTAGGACCGCGGAGGGTGAGGCAGCTCCTCGCGCATGCGCACGCTGTCAGAGTCGCTCCGGTGATGGCCGCAACACCGCCCGGAACGGCTCCGTTAGTTCCGCCCACTGCCTCACAGCCAATCCGCGCGCTCCACATCGTGTTGCGTCACGCGAGGGCCGCACTCAGAGAAGGCCCCCAGGATGGGGCTGCCCGCGGCGCTGCCTGCCCCGAGCTGTGCCCCGCGGCGGGGAGCGCGGCCGAGCCGCGGTCTCGGGATATCCCCGGGGGGGCCCCGTCCCGTCCCTTCCGCACGGTCACGCTCGGCCGTGGCGCTGCCGGCTCCCCTCCCTCCCCCTAGGCGGGCCCGGCAGTGCTGCGGGCAGGCGCGGGGGGGGTCCTGGGGCGAGGGCGGGCGCAGGCCGGGCGTATGAGGCCGGCGGCTCCGGCGGGCGCTCTGCGCGATGCGGTGCTGGACGTGGCGCCGGCGCTGAGCGGCCCCGGCGCGGAGATGGGCGCGGGAGCGGGCGGCGCGGCCCTGCCCGAGCGGCTCCGCCTCCCCGTCTGCTGCCTCGGCGTCTTCGCCTGCTACTTCTACTACGGCATCCTGCAGGAGAGCATGTGAGGGGGGGGGGCTTGGGCCTGGGGCCGCGCCCGGCCCGGCAGCGCCTCACGCCTGTTCCGCTCTTGCAGCACGCGCGGCCGGTACGGGGAGGGCGCGAAGCAGGAGAGGTTCCGGTTCGCGCTGACGCTCGTGTTCATCCAGTGCGTGGTGAACGCGGCCTTCGCCAAGCTCCGTGAGTGGGGTCCGGGGGGGGGGGGGGGGGGGGGTACGGCCGGGGGTGCTCGTAACGGGTGAGGGAGCGCTCATGGGGGCCTGTGGGGACGGGACAAGGGGAGCGGCTTTAACCTGATACAGGGGAGACTGAGCTGAGCTCTTAGGCAGAAGCTCTTCCCTGTGAGGGTGCTGAGGCGCTGGCACAGGGTGCCCAGAGAAGCTGTGGCTGCCCCATCCCTGGCAGTGCTCAAGGCCAGGTTGGACACAGGGGCTTGGAGCAAGCTGCTCCAGTGGAAGGGGTCCCTGCCCGTGGCAGGGGTTGGAGCTGGAGGAGCTTTAAGGTTCCTTCAACCCAAACCAGTCCGGGATTCCCTGAGGTGTTTCCCGGTGTGTCTCTGACCCCCCGCAGTGATCCATGTGTTCGACGCTGTCAAAGTGGATCGCACCCGGAGCTGGCTCTACGCTGCCTGCTCCCTCTCGTACCTGGGTGCGATGGTGTCCAGCAACTCGGCTCTGCAGTTCGTCAGTTACCCCACGCAGGTGCGGCTCGGGGCCATCGGGGGGTTCTGGGCTGGGCTCTCGCTGCGTTTAAGTCAGCAGAGACTTGGGAGAGCTCAGCCAGGGAACAGGAGACCCTGGAAACGGTGGGAATTCGCTGTTGGAGGGCTCGAGGTGGTGCCTGGCACCGCTCATTCAGCGGTGGTTGGGGCAGGGGGGTTGATGCTTCTTTTGAAGCACCTGGTGTGTTCTGCAGGGGGTGCATCCTGTGCCATCACCTTCCTGCTGCCGCCCTCTCCGAAGGATGCTCTGTGGGTATTTAACCCTGTCCTTCTTTCACAGGTCCTTGGCAAATCTTGTAAGCCCATTCCAGGTAAGGAAGCTTCACCTTTCCCTTTGTACACTTGGGGGGGTCTCTTGTACCCTTAACCAGGACCTCACCCATCAAACAGCTCCTGCCCTCTTCATAGCCGCAGCACAGGCAGAGCAGCCCCTGCTTTAGCTGTGGGTTGGGCTCCCCTGCAAGGGCTGGGGAGCACTTTGTGACCTCGCCTCTTTCCAGTCATGCTTTTAGGAGTGACTTTGCTGCGGAAGAGGTACCCCCCAGCCAAGTACTTCTGCGTCCTCCTCATCGTGGCTGGCGTCGCCCTCTTCCTGTACAAGCCGAAGCGGGCGGCTGGGAGCGAGGAGCACGTCTTTGGCTACGGAGAGCTCCTCCTGGTGAGTCCGCAGCAGGGCTGAGGAGGAGCGGCCGCAGCACAGATAAGGCTGCGTCCTTTGGACCTCGAGCGCGTCCAGGAGGTGATGTGGAAATGCGTCCACAGGAGGACACTGGGGTTGAGGGGAGCGCTCCAGAGCCATGGAGTGAGATCAGGGCGAGAGCGTTTGCACCCCTCCTGGCCTCTGGTTTGAGGCCACGCGTGGCTGTTCAGTGCGTGGTTGGGATGTGAAAGCTGGGGAATGGTCAAGGTTTTCCTCCTGGAGAAGGGATGAAGAGGGAAGGTTCCTTCGCTGCCTCTTGTCTTCCCTCAGCTGCTGTCGCTGACCCTGGATGGGCTCACTGGGGTGTCTCAGGACCACATGAGAGCTCACTACCAGACAGGCTCCAACCACATGATGCTGAACGTTAACCTCTGGTCCACCTTGTTCCTGGGGGCTGGTAAGGAGCGCGCTGCAGAATCCACCTCGCCCAGAGCCTGCCCAGTGGCAGTGGCCGAGCTCCAGCAGCGGGGCTGGAACCCCCTTTCCGAAGCCCTTCATGAAGCGCTTGGGGTCGGTGGGGTTGGATGTGGAACCTGGGCTGCTCCGTGCAGCTCTGCTCATGGCCGCTAGAGGGCATCGCCTCCCGCAGAGCGCAGCGGCCCAGCGCTGGCTCCCCCTCGGTTCCTGCCCCCTTGCCCAGCAGCGAAGCGAGCATCAGTGCAGCTTCCAGCCCCACACGGGGGGCACTGCTGGGGCTGCTCTGGGAGGGCTGAACGTGCGCTTCAGTGATGGCTTCATTCAGGACCCAGGGCGGTGGTGGCTTCTCCTCTTTCTTCACTGTGTTGGGATTTAGTCCTCGCCATCGGCAGCTCCTGTTGTGCACCCCGGGGGCCGTGGCTCCTCGGGCTGCCTCTGGCTTCTCAGGCTGGATCTTTGTTGCAGGCATTCTGTTCACTGGGGAGCTCTGGGAGTTCCTGAGCTTCACGGAGCGATTTCCCAGCGTCATTTACAACATCCTGCTCTTCGGCCTCACCAGTGCTCTGGGTCAGGTAAATTCACCTCCCTTGGGCCCCAGGCTTCGTGGGGATGGCACCCCCCGTGTGCTGGGCTGCACCCCAGAGCGTGAGCAGCAGGTGAGGGAGGGGATCCTGCCCCTCTGCTGCACAGGGCTTGGGGCTGGAGGAGCTTTAAGGTCCCTTCCAGTCCAAACCAGGCTGGGAGATGGGCAGGAAAGGCTGCCTCCTGTTTGGATGCTGTGGGGGGTGCTCGTATTCTGTCCTGGCTCCTTCAGTGTGAAATAATGTACCCAAATAATCAGGGTTTGAAACAAGACTCAGCTCTGGCTCAGTGGTTCTCACCTGAAAGCGCGATCTCTGTTGTACTTTCCCTGCTCCCATTGACAACAGGCATCTCTCTGCCTCTTACAGAGCTTCATTTTCATGACTGTGGTGTACTTCGGCCCTCTGACGTGCTCCATCATCACCACAACCCGCAAGTTCTTCACCATCTTAGCGTCCGTCATCCTCTTTGCCAACCCCATCAGCTCCATGCAGTGGGTGGGGACGGTGCTCGTGTTCTTGGGTAAGTCTGGAGAGGAAAGCCCTGACCCGAGCTGAAACCGATGGGGTTCAGTGAGGGCAGAGCCAACAGAAGACCAGGTCCAAAGCAGAGGTGGGTGGATGAGAATCCTGTTGGTGGAGGGTCCATGGGACCTACAAGGATGCTGGGGAGGGACCTCCACCAGGGACTGCAGCGATAGCACAAGGGGCGATGGGTTCACACTGAACCAGGGGAAGTTCAGGTTAGATCGTAGGCAGAAGCTCTTCCCTGTGAGGGTGCTGAGGCGCTGGCACAGGGTGCCCAGAGAAGCTGTGGCTGCCCCATCCCTGGCAGTGCTCAAGGCCAGGTTGGACACAGGGGCTTGGAGCAAGCTGCTCCAGTGGAAGGGGTTGGGGCTGGAGGATCTCAAGGTCCTTCCCACCCCAAAGCATTCCATGGTTCAAGGGTTGTTTTCTCTCTTCTTTGCAGGCCTCGGACTCGATGCCAGGTTTGGGAAGGGAGTGAAGAAGACGTCGCATTGAGGAGGGGGCAATCTCTGCCCTTGGGATGGACTTTTAATTTATTGTCCTGTACCTCAGAATTGGTTCTGCCCCGGGCTCAGGACGGGAGCCAGGA